TATTGGAGAAGTAAGGCAAAACCCTGCAGACCTGTAAGCAAGCACTCCCGGGCTGTGGTTCAGTGCCCAAACTGTAGCCCTAGACCCGAAATCCCAATCCTCCAAGGGTTTATAGGGTTTAGTGTTTCGGTTTAGGGTTTGGGGTTTGGGGTTTAGGGTTTAGGGTTTAGGGTTTCGGCTGCTGTTTTTGGTAGTGACTCCCGTGTGCGACGGATGTCGTGCTTCGGGGGTGAGGTTTTCGGATTTGGGGTTCTCATTTCGGGTTTTGGCAATCTGGCAATCTGGTCCCACCCCACAGCATTCTCACACTCGTCCAGATTCCGGACTACCCTTCCTAGTCTAACAGGGGTTCAGGGTTTAGAGTTTAGAGTTTTGGAAGCATGCTTGTTTGTGATTCCATTTCCCTGCAAACGTCGGCACCAAACGACCTCAACATCCCGATTCCTGCACAGCCCGAACCACCAACCCTCCGCCCTAAACCTACACAACCCCTTAGCCCTAAACAACCCCTGCACCCTGAACACGCCCTAAATCGCTATAAAACCCGCTATCCCAACCTCAGCCTCAGGACCGGCGCCAAGCCCTAGCAACTTGCATTCTTAACGTTGCATCTCCCTAGGGGTGCCCAAGAGGGGCTTGATGTGAGGGCTTGCTTTCAGGAAAGGTTTTTTGGGATCTTTTGGGGGGTTGCTTTGGGAATTGTTTTGGGGATCTTTTGGGTTTGGTGTTTAGGGTTTAGGGCTAGAGTTTAGGATCCTTTGGGATTGCCAAGGGGGCCATTTTGGGAGGTACGTGAGCCTTTCACTTGCAAAATCCTAAAGGACTTCATTTCAGCGTCCAAGGTGTTAATGGAGGTTCCTGCAGGAAACTAACTGTGTGTCGGGCAGAAGCACACTTCCCTTTTCGAATTTGGGGTCTTTCTTTCAGAGATGGGCAGCAGGCAGGCAGGAAGGCATCGCGGTGTGCATACTGTGAAGCCGCGAACCCCAAACCCTACCCTCCTACGCCTGGAATGCAACTCCCGAAGCTTTACGTCACGAAGCTCCGGCCACAGATTCCCGAGCCAAGAAGGGCCTAATGTAGGCTGCGGGGTTAAGGGCTCAGGGTTGAGCGGTTCAGGGCTTAAGGATTCATAAGATTCATAAGGTTTAGGTCTTGCTCGCAAGGTTTATACACGGTGTAAGGCTCAGCTTAAGGTGGAATGTGGGGCTCAAGGACTGTGCAGGATTTAGGGCCTATGGGCACCTGTTTTCAAGGCTTAAGGGCTTGGCGTTAGATCTCGGTGAGCCAGCCTAGGATGCCGTGGCTACCAGTGCAGCGATAGGCTGGGGGCAGGGGGGTTCTGTAGAGGCCACTTCTCTTCGGATTCAGGTTTGGGGGATTTTGGGGTTAGAGGGTTTAGGGAGTTTCGCGTTCGAACCCTCCAGACCTAAACCCCTCCAACCCCCCCAAAAGTACACCCTAAACTAAACCCTAAACAACCCTGAACCCTAAACCCTAAACCCTAAACCCTATACGTGGCTACCAGGCGCTGTGGCAGGGGACGGCCGCCACTGGAGGCCATCGGATCTTCAACTCCCCCCTAAGGGTCCATGTACCTCGTTACTTTAAACCCGAAGTGTCCTTTAGGGTTTAGGGTTTAGGGTTTCGGGTTAGGGTTTAGGGTTTAGGGGTCCATGTACCTCATTATTCTATACGTGGGCCCCAAAGTCCCTATATCGGAAGTACTTTAAGGCGCAAGTATTCCTTATTTTTTTTTTGGGGGGGGGGGCCCGGCAAGGCCCTGAGACTCCCCAAACCCCCGAAACAGGCTGGCGTTTGCGCTCCTCTTCGCTCTGGTGGCCCAGCATGGCGGCGGCAGGGCAAACGTTGCACGCCGGTTGCAGTTGACCTGCGAAGTGTCTTGAGGCACTTTGCGCGGCAGCCCAGTAACCCTTCGCCTTCAAATCTTAGCAAGCAGTTCAGTGAACAAGATCTTCCGAAGTATTGAAAAGAGGCAAGGCCTGCAGGCCAAGATGTAGAAAACGGCGGCTGTGCGCTTGCATAGCCCTTCCATGCCTTGCATCGTCCACACCGCGGGGCCCAGCATTTCTGCTTAAGGCAACCGGCAGGCTTTTTCCTTCCCAAGCTGCAAAGCAGTGCGGGAAATGTGCCGCTGGGCCGCGTTTTGCCTATGCGCCATGGCCACATCGGCCGCCACGAAGGAGGAGCTGCTCTCAGCTGTGAACAGCAGCGATGCAGATGCAGTTCAGAGGCTGCTGAACAGCAGCCAGCTTGGCCCCGATGACATGATGTACAGAAAGGATGCTGAGTGGATCACATCAACCGTTCTTCACTTGGCTGCCTCTCAAGGTGACCTGGACGTCGTGCATCTGCTCCTGGCTGCCTGGCCTGCAGGCGCACAAGAAAGGGATGAGTTTGGCAACCTGCCTTTGCACGAAGCATGCTTGAACGGCAGCGTGGAGGTTGCGCAGCTTCTCCTTGAAGGTCGGCCCGATGGAGTGAAGGTTGCCAACTATTATGGCCGGACATCATTGCACAGTGCAGCCGCAAGTGGCAGTGTCGAGCTCATGAAGTTGCTGCTGGACCGGTGGCCGGAGGGGTTGAACGTTGCCGACGTCTGGGGCAACACGGTTTTGCACGGTGCAGCCGCAAGTGGCAGTGTCGAGCTCGTGAAGTTGCTGCTGGAGCGGTGGCCGGAGGGGCTGAACGTTGCCGGCTACTCTGGCAAAACGGTTTTGCATGATGCAGCCGCAAGTGGCAGAGTCGAGCTCGTGAAGTTGCTGCTGGAGCGGTGGCCGGAGGGGTTGAACATTGCCGACAACTATGGCAACACGGTTTTGCACGGTGCAGCCGCAAGTGGCAGTGTCGAGCTCGTGAAATTGCTGCTGGACCGGTGGCCGGAGGGGTTGAACGTTGCCGACGTCTGGGGCAACACGTTTTTGCACGGTGCAGCCGCAAGTGGCAGTGTCGAGCTCGTGAAGTTGCTGCTGGAGCGTTGGCCCGAAGCCCTGACAGTTCCGAACCAATATGGCATTGCACCGTTACACGAGGCTTCGACTCTGGAAGTGGCACTACTGCTTATGAACATGGCGCCGCGGCAATCCTACACGTCCCGCCTGTCGTGCATTATCCTCGTAACTAGCGCTTGCATCGGAGAGGAGGTTGATCAATCCTGGAAGGCTGCTGCCGCCGAACTTCAGTGCAGTTCTCCAGAGTCTCTCCGAAAGCAACACTTGCAGCTTTGGCTCGATGGCTGCGGTGGTAACCCCAGCTGGGCTGACAACTTTGGTGCCCTTGTGAGCAAGCTTCGTGATCCTGAAGCAAAGGACAGGCAAACGGGTTTTCCGTGCGCCTATAAATCCCCAAATCCTCCACTATACACCAAGTCAATCTCATGCGCTAAGACACCGACTTTCAGTGGCTGTGTGATCTTGCACCCCTGCTGTTTAGACTAAGTAGCGCTCGCTGACATTCTTTTGGCCATGAAGGACTTCTTGGAATCTCGCAGCAAACCAGAAGACTGGGTGGTGGCCTTGCTGGCAGACTGGCTGGCATGGGTGACTTTCATCTCTGCTGCAAGTGCAGCGCTTGCAGCCGTGTGCCTTGAGCATCTGATCAGCAAATTGATGCAGAGGCCAGGCCAAGTGCAGCCACGTCCGTCGCCGGAGGAGGAAAGGGACGTTTTAGACCCATTCTTGCAGGGTGCTCGACTCGTGGTATGCCAAGCATTGGCAGAGCGTACGTCATTCCTGAGACTGTGGCGGTGGCTGGAAAGTTTGATTGCTGTCTTCTGGTTGGGCTTCGCGCTGTTATTGGTACGGTGGGTTTTGTGGCTACCCGTTGTCTTCTTCTTGTACGCTGTTCCGGCAGTTCGCGTTCACGGTGTTCGGGAAGTTTTGAAGTGCCCGGTGCTGATCATCCTGACCACGGGGACCACGGGGGCCAAGGGCCTTCTGCCACAGGCCAGCTCTGGTTTCTAGAGCCCCTGTAGGCACTCAGACGGTCTTATTATTATTGACATGTCCACTGTATGCAGTATGCAATTGCAGATGCTGCACGGCGGCTGCGTCGGCCTGCTTGCTGGGTTTCTAGTCATCCGGGAATTTCCTGGGCAGCCTGCGGGGTCACTAGACCCCATGCAGGACCCAATACCCAGCGCATGAAATCGGTTCTCAAACTAAAGAACTTCCATGTTAGGGGTCGTTGGGGAGGGAAAGGAGGTCCCTTTTGGAACCTCTGACGTTTATAGTCGGGCCGAGTGCGGCAAACTACACGAGCGAAGTTGGTCGGAACGTGGTGGCTGGCCATTGCATGGCTCTCCTGTATCATGGGGGGGGGGGGGGGGTAAATATGGCACATTGGACAGAGATCACGCCGCTGTCCAGTAAAGTTGGTCAGTCTGGAATCTAGACGCCACTAGACACCACAGCAGGCCTGCTGTCAGCCATCATTTAGTCTGTCCATTCGAGCGCTGTTTTGTGCCAGCGTCTAACGTCTAAAAATTCCAGTGCCAATGCGAATTCTTCAACAGTGCGGGCTAATGGGATCCAAAGCTTTAGCAGGAATGCCCACTAAAATGACAATTCGGACAAAGATGGGCCCTATAAACCCTAAAAGGAGCACGGGCCACCACGGAATGACCGTCGTCTGGAAAGAAGTTTTCGCCTGCCCCTGAAGGAATGTGGGGGTTGAGAAGTCGCACAAAAGCCAAAAATCTTAGCGCCCGCTTCCAGAAGTGCAGCGCCACCTCCAATTATTGAAGGGAGCACGATCGCAACTACATAGCACTTGCGCCAGGCAAGTCAGGATGACAGACATCTGCCCTGCCTAGAGACGAACTGGCATGCTTGCGGTGTGCTGACGGGCACTGACAGGTTGAGGGTTTCAGCTGGCTCGTGCTTTAATAAGCTGACTGCTACATTTACGGGCTTATGCAAGCTTTCAGTTATTCAAGAGGTCCAAAAATGGTTCAGACGAACCAGAGTGCATCCAGTCAGGCTGCTGCCCTTCTTCGAACAGTGGCCCTCTCAGGGTTCTTTGTCGCGACTTTCGTTGCCTATTGGGTTTTTTTCCTTGGTGGAGAATTCGCTGTCGCTGAGCCCCTAAAGTGGTTCGCCGAATATGCGGTCAACCCCATCATTTCTGAATGGGTCGCTTCAAAGTATTTCAATGAGTGGAGGAATAGCAAGCTTGCCGATGATTGGCTATTTGGATGGGCCCCACCAGATATCACAGCAGTTGACATTTTCAACATGGTGCTAGACCGTCTCCTTCCAGGTTTCCTCATCCTGTACTCTACATGTCTGCTCTGTGCATGGCTTGCGAACTGTGTTCAGCGCTTGGTCCCCGCGGTCGGCTGTGTGCAGCACCGGCTCCCGTGGCTCGATGTGACTATCAGGAAGCAGCGTGCGCAGGCCAAAAGGACAAGGGCACAGCAGGCGATAGAGGAGCTGCTTCAGAAGCAGCCGCTGCCGTCTAGATTCCGCGACGTGGATCCCAGTCTCCGGCCCGTCGTCCTTCTCGCCTGGCCTTGGCAAGGAGGAGGGCTGCTCCAAACACTGGCGTTGCTGATTTTGGACATCGGCCTCGACGTCAAGACACTCAGCGATGTGCTGTCCGCAAAGCATTACGCTTTTGCTTCCGTCACGGCCTTCATCGTGACTCGCAGTGCTCTTAAGCAATTGGCCGTCTTGCCCCCTTGGAACCTCCGGCAGGCCCGCTTGGAGGTGTTTCGTATAATGACAGATTTATGCTTTCGAGGTTCTACGGTTCTACCATGTTCTACAGTATGTATGGCTGCTGCGAGCTTTGCATAGTCTCTTTTTGCTATTGCTATGACTCTTCCAAATATCGCGCATGTCCGTGCAGGCGATACGGGAGAGTGTGGGGCGAGGCCTGCTGCGGGAGGACCTCCTGGAGTTCATAGAAGAAGCTAGGCAATTACCCCGTGAGGTTTCTCTGAGGTGAGGGACCCCTTTTCTCACCGAGTTTTCGCTTGTGTCACAGCCCCAAAGCACAAGGATATTCATGTCCACTGGCTGCGGGCCTTGCCGCAGCTCAGGAAGAGAGACGCTCAGAAGCGTTCTTCTGCGCGTGCATCACTGCCTATGCCATGCTGTACGCAGCCCAAACAGCCGGTCAGCTCGTGACCCAGTTTGGCAGCCTTCTGCTAAGCACATGGCTATTTGCAGGCTCGGCATTGAACAGAGGCATCTTTTAGAAGCAGGGCCCAGGCTTCAGGTTCATTGCAGTCTGAGGGCAAATACGGCTGGCAGGTTATGCCGTCAGAATCTGCGACCTGGAGCTCGATATGGACAATTTCGGTACAGATGCGGCTTGCCCTGATGTTGTGAGCATCAGAATCGACGAGCTCAAGAAGGACACCCTCTTCTGCGGCTGTAACCCTGAACGAAAATTTGCTAGACGCATCATAGAGTCACAGCATACCTGATAGTCAAGCGCGCAAGGATGGCGATGATGAGCTCCCTGCGACCGCCGCTTCTCGAAACGGTTTGAAGCCAATTGATTTTGCAAGCGTAGAATACCTCAAATCGGAGTTTGCGACAGGTTTTTGCATGAACACACAGATATCAAGAATTGTGAGCAGGAGCCGTCTGTAGCCTCTTGCGCCCAAGGTTTCCGAGGATGCCAACGATGAGTTGCAGCAGGCTCAGCAGGCTCTTGATCAAGGCGGATCCTCCAACGACTCGGAGCTCAGCTTTCAGCAGGCGCCGGAGAGTTTTGCCGAAAATTCTGTGCCTTAGTCGAAACTAATCCTAGGAAGGGTCAAGGATTGGGTCAGGGATTCGGGTTAAAGGTTGAAGTGATGCAGTTTGGATTTTCAATCTTCGCAGAATCGTAAATCCGGAGGCGTTCTATGCTACCAGGCAGATTGTGTAGGCTCACGGTTAAACAGGGATGCCCACAACATGGACCAGAAGCCTAGGTCGGATTCGAGATCTGACCAGCCTACCCAATGTCGTCAGAGAGGCTCGTTGGAAGCAATACTCTGCCAACTTGCGCATGAACCCTAAACCCTAACCCTAAACCCTAAACCCGAAACCCAGCAAAAAGACTGATGATGAAGACGAAGGCGCGGAGCAGAAAGAGCCTGGTGCAGCTCGTCTCTCGGCCATCAAAAGGTTTCGCTGGGGCGCGAAGGGCTGCGAAAGGGGCGTTTAAGACAGACCTAGAGCGAGTTGTCGCGTGACGGGGGTGGTGTTTCCATTGTTCATGTCATGTTGTTGAAATGTTCTTGAATCCGGAAGTTCCTGTGCCATTTTAGCAGGGGCTTCTAGACTACGGAGGTGGACTTCAGGAGCACCCACGCCCTCTTGTCCCGTCCCTTCCGCATCGTGTTCGGACCCGAAGCCCTCAATAAAGGCAAACCTGAAACTGAAAGGTGGAACAACCTGTACACCATCAGGCTCAGAGCAGCTTTTCAATACCAGCATACCGAATGTCATTAGAGGGGCCGGGTGCAAGAACAATGCTGAAGTCTTGCTGACAGGCTCCCCTTGCTGAAAATTGCTTGCCTGCCATGCCAAGGATTGCCAACCAGCATCAGAAGCCAGTTAACAAGCCGGACTGTCAAGACTTTTCATTTTCGGGATGTGCAGAGGCTGCGGGATAAATCCTCGCAACGCCCTGCCGCTGCCCTCATTATAGTGGGGCTGCTGTCTGGGCGTCCCACATGAAAGATCTTCTTCTTTCCCGCCGAGCGTGTGCTCTCCGTGGCTCAAGGCCATGAGGGGGGGACTAGAAGAAGCCCAGAAACCGAGAAACGCGCAGGAAAGACTCGAGCCGATCTGCAGACCTTGATGAATGTTCATCATGCCTTGCTCCCCAAAGCTCTATACAAGTCTTAAACCACAAGGATGTCGGGTTTAGGGTTTCGGGTTTCGGGTTTAGGGCGAGTTGCGCCCATCTTGTCCCCTGTGCGCCTGGCTCGAGCCTGTAATCGGGCTGCAAAACTTCCGAGCTGGCCGCGCTGTGCATGGGCATGGCGCGGCAGTCCTCCAAGGGTTCCCACGAAGACTCCGATGCCGCTTCGCCACGCCATGCCAGGCCGGGCGAGGGCGGGACTCAGGGCTTGCTGTTGAGGGGATCAAGGGGTTTAGGCGGTTTAGGGTTTAGGGTTTAGGGTTTAGGGTTTAGGGAATGAGAGCCATACACCATGCTGCTACGGAATGTTTCTGAAGTTGAATCCACTGCAAAGCAGAACCCCAGGTTCAAACCCTGGTCCCAAACCCCAAACCCCAAACCCTACACCCTAAACCCCAAACCCTAAACCCTAAACCCTAAACCCTAAACCCTAAACCCTAAACCCTGCAGACGGGTCGGCAACGGGGGTGGCTTTCCATGGTTCTTTCTGGTGTGCGTCCATCGGCGCCGACTGCTGGGTGCGACTTCCTCCTTGCTGAAAACGTGGTCTTTTTGTGGACTTCACACGATTTTACCTCATTATGGGGCTTATGCTAAGGGTTTAGGGTTTAGGATTAGGGTTTATAGGGTTTATAGGGTTTATAGGGTTTAGGGTTTAGGGTTTAGGGTTTAGGGTTTAGGGTTTAGGGTTTAGGGTTTAGGGTTCAGGGTTTAGGGTTTAGGGTTTAGGGTTAGGCATAGGGTTTTGGGTCCCTAAGGGTCCATGTACCTTATGATTATATTCTCTGAGCAGGAAATACTTTAAGGCCCAAGTAACACATATTTAGGTACATGGACCCTTAGGGTCAGAGTTGCCTTCCAGACTTCTTTCTGTCTACCCTTTTCTTTGAAGATGCCGTTTCGCGACGGAAACGCGCGTTACGCGTTGCCGTTGTTTCGTTGCCGTTGTTGTTTTAAATGGGTTTTTGGGCATGCCGTTGTTTTTCCCCTTGCTGGGGGTGGGCTGGGGTGGGTGGGGGTGGTTGGGTGGGTGGGGGGGGTTGGGTGGGTGGGGGGGGTTGGGTGGGTGGGGGGGGGTTGGGGGGGGGGGGGGGGGGGCGCACATGGATAGGTATCTTTTGTTATATAGTGAGTCTGTAATGCTTAACCATTAGTCTTTGAGCCCTATATGCCTAGACACCAGCGCCCCACTTGCGCTGAGAGCAAGGAGGGCTAGATGAAGGTGGCCGAAACTCCAAACCCCAAACACTGAACCCTAAACCCTAAACCCTAAACCCTAAACCCTAAACCCTAAACCCTAAACCCTAAACCCTAAACCCTAAACCCCAGGCCTGGAAGCTTCTAAACACGCTTCTTCAGGGCTACTGGTGAGGAGGATCCGTAAGAACCCACTACCGAAGTGAAACTCTTCTGGGGAGACTCTGAGTACATCTGGAATGTGGAGAGTCTGTGTACAGAGAATGTAGAACCCCTTCAAAGACATTTAAAACAAAAACAAGCATGATGTTAAGGCTCAGGATTCCGGTTTGCAAGTTTGTGGTGAGCAGCGACACGTAACCCTAAACCCCAAAGCCTAAACCCCAAACCCTAAACCCTAAACCATCACTAAACCCCAAACCCTAAACCCTAAACCCTGAACCCTGCAACCGTCAGCGCTGACTCCTTCTGGGATCTCCACCGCCGCCTTGCGGAGTGAGACTTGGCCCAGGAACTCCCCCATAAGGGTCCATGTACCCAAATAGGGTTTAAGTTAGGGTTTAGGGTTTAGGATTTAGGGTTTAGGGTTTAGGGTTTAGGGCTTAGGGTTTAGGGTTTAGGATTTAGGGTTTAGGGTTTAGGGTTTAGGGTTTAGGGTACCGAAATAGGGAATACTCGGGCCTTAAAGGTACTTCCTACATAGGGACTTTGGCCAAGTGTATCATAATAAGGTGCATGGACCCTTCGGGGAAGACTACAGAAGCACCTCCAACGCTACAAGCCTTAGAAGGCGTCGAGGGTTTAGGTTTTATAGGGTTTAGGGTCTAGGGTCTAGGGTTTAGGCATTTTATTGTTTGGGGTTTAAGAAGAACTACAGTAACTCGACTGTCGGCTTTGGTTTCCTGGGTGGAGGATTCGAAAACCCCCTTGTACGGAGCTCCCTCCACCCAAGAAAAGGCCTCCGAAACCCCAAACCCTAAAACCTGAACCCCAAGCCCTAAACCCTAAACCCTAAACCCTAAACCACAAGCTTCGACGATGCCGGCTTCGGAGCTCACGGGTTTGCCAGGATCTCAAGCTCATGGAAGATTCACTTGTAGGGGTGAGTAGGGTTTAGGGTTTAGGGTTTAGGGTTTCGCGTTTAGGGTTTAGGGTTTAGGGTTTAGGGTTTAGGAGTTAGGGTTTAGGGTTTAGGGATTGAGTATAAGTATAGGGGTTATGGGGTTTCGGGTTTTGATGTGAATGTTCAGAGTTGAGGATCTAGGTTGCAGTGGGGCCTGGATGTAGGGTCCTGCTGCCGGAGCTTTCTTCCGAGGTGGCAAAAAAGGAGGGCCCTCAACACTAAAGCCTATAAGTATACGTCCCTCAACTCCACAGAAACCGCAAACCCCGTTGGGGTTTTGGGTGTTAAGGGTGTTGGGTTTTTAGGGTTTGGGTGTGGCGTTTTAGGGTTTTAGGGATTTAGCGCTATTATAGGGTTTTAGTTTTTTGAGTTTAGGGTTTTTAGGACATCGGGTTTAGGGTGTACTAAACCCTAAACCCTCAACCCTCAACCCTCAACCCTAAACCCTAAACCCTAAACCCTGAAGCAGCCGGCCAGCTGGCAAAATGGACACCCCACATGGCCAGCTCAGGCTACATGCATGACATGCGCGTGGCGGTGACACAGGCCAGCTCACCCTAAACTAAACCCGAATAAGCCCTAAACTCAACCTATATGCCCTAAACCCTTTAAACCAAGCCTAAACAATAAAAGTGGAGGAGTTGGGACTTCAGGCGTGGAGGCTTTGGGATTGGCGGCCTCTGTTGTCAACAGAAGTGTGGAGGGTTGGGTGCTTAGGGTTTGGTTGCAGGGGGTTGGGGTTGAAAGTTTATAGTATGTTTTGGGTTATGGGTGTGCGGACGACGGTTTTAGGGTCGAGGGTTATAGGGTATGGGCTTCGGGGTTTACGGGTTTGAGATTCTGAGATTCCAAACGCAAGGTCTAAAGGGATCACGCAAGTGGTGCGCATGTTGAGTGACCACATTGTGCTCAGAGACGTTTTGCAGTTTTGGCTTTCACCGGCTTCGGGATTGAACTTGGCCGGTTTAGGATGTTGGAAACTAGGGGTAGACTCGCTGTTTGAGGTCGAAGGGCAATTGGCGTGTACAAGTTGAAACCCGTAGCCGAGTTTCACCAGAGACGCCAGGCGGAGGGTTTATTTTAGGGAGTGTAGGGTTTGGGGTTGATTTAGGGTTTATAGGGTTTAGGGTTAAGGGTTTACGGTTTAGGGTTTACGGGAAGGCTTGCGCACTTGGCCGAAGGATGGGGGCACGAGCACGTGCCATGAGAAGACTTGGACGTCAGTGGCGTTTGCGCCTACCTGCTTTCACTTTAGGGTGCAGGTCTAGGGTTTGGGGTGTAGGGTTCAGGGTTTAGAGTTTAGGGTTTAGAGTTTTGGGTTCCCTACATCACTCTAAACCCTACAACCTGAACCATAATTAAACCCTAAACTGGAGTTGCCCGTAAGAGGCTTCCGCGCTACAAAAAGACACATGCTCTGTGATCGATGGAATCGGGAGTTCCAGCGGTGGTGGTGCTGCCTTGATCCAGTCTGCATGCAAGCTGTGGCTGTGGCTGTGGCTATTGCATCATCATTATTCTTATTCTTATTGCAGTATTATTATCATTACCATTATTCAC